ACTCAGTACTTGAACCAAAGTTGGGAGGGGGGGGGGTGTTGGATATTTCTACTGTCTCACGTTGAGATATGTCCGGAGATAGCATAAGAATAGCTGTGTACAGTTAACTTCCTACTTACACTCTTTAGGCACATGCCACTTTTCCTGCAATGTCTATGAACAGATCCTTAGACGTGTAGAAGGATATTTACACACCTAATAAACTGTCGGTCCAAGCCTCAAGGTCGAACAAACGTTGTCATGTTTCTTTTCGTTAGAGAAGGGTTTGGTTTACCCTGTGATTGAGATGACAAGTCTTCATGGTTTCAGTGTCACTGGGGTTTATGTACTTATTTTGACTAAAAGAAAACACTGGTATGGGTCAGGCGCTTCCTTGTGGTGTCATCGGCTAGTATGGTGGCTGAATGTTTTGATGATGCCAATGGTGAAATAACCAACAGCTGCATTAAAAGTTCCGAGTGATTAAAGCCCACAGACTAAACCACTAGAAATTCTGAGCCAGGTAAAGAGCAGCTGTAACTTGTGGAACTAGCTGGATACAACCTGGCAACCTAATCTTCATTTACCACCACTTTTTATATGCCATTAAGAGCTGGAGGTGGACTGGACATGGCTTTCTGGACAGGAGTAAACACAAACACGTGGCATTTAAATAAAAGGGGATCTCGTTTCTATGCATTGTCTTAACCATCGCCGCACAAAGAGCTGGCGAACTATTCCGCTCCAACTGCTCTGTGCTTCACAGTTCATCGGGCACCATGTTTGTTTTACGTGAGCGTTGTTCAATTCGTTTGCACTTCGGCGCTACATTCAGCTGAGCCGCCAAACAGAATGCGGGCGCTGGGGCACCGTAGCGTGTAGACGAATATGCCGCTCCATTTGGGTTTACACGGCGCCCTGTGTGCTTATAAACAGTATTTCTGGTGTAAGCCCCTTCCTCGCCCAATCGTATTTCCCACTGTCGTTTGAAATATATGTTTACAGTAAGGAATGAAAAAGACAATCTCTTTATTACCCCCAAAGTTACAATGACCTTTGGGTGGGAAGGGGAAGCAAAACAATATTGATTAGCTCCCCCCACTCCCTTTTCCGGTGTCACACTATCATATTTCACTGTGCAAAATGAACCATTAGTGGACACTATTGATTGAACATCGTGATGGATTCCTGGCCCCATTCACATGTCCCCGTGTAATGAATTCATCCATTTAAAAACATTACAAGGAATATTGGAGATTGACTGGGAGAGGAAGTGACACTTGACCCTCAGATCCTACACCCCAGAGGGGAGAGCCGGCTTTCAAAATAGCAGTCCTGCCCTGCTGCTAGTCTGGCTGGAAGCAGGCTGTCTCCGCCTCGCTCCCTTCCCCTCTCCCCCACCTTCTCCCTGCAGCGTTGCAGCCAAAGCCACTGAATCGGCAAAGAGCAGCAGCGAGACGAGAGCCACCGTAACAACAACCAGGCATAACAGCCCCCGCCGTCCCTCCCCCCGCACCCAAACAAACGCCCGGCTCCCGGGCAGGCAGCAGAACACGGGCTGATGTCAAGTAGGCGAGAACTTAGTTCTCTCCCCCGCCGCCACTCCCTGCTGACGGAGGGGTGGGGGTGGGGAGCTGCAGGCTCAGCGATTGCTTCAGCGCGGTCCCTAACACAAATCCAGCCGCGATGACCTCGCACAGCCAGACCTCCACCCAGCCCCTGCCAGCTCTCCGTGTCAACACTTGTCCCAGTGCACAAGGACGGGGCTGCCTTGGAAAAGTCCGCTCAGCGACCATGAATTCACTTCTCCCCCTCCCCATCTGCTTCCCACCTGGGACTTCATTCGCTCGCTCTTCTTTTCAGCTACATGAGCTCCGCACGCAGCGGATATTTATTGGCGTGTCATGAACAGCTCCCTCCCTGCGCCTGAGTGTTCAAGAATAAAGCAGCTCCCAAGGATTTGAACGAATCCAAGGCTTGTAAAGCTCTGTAATACTATTAAAGCCAATATGAGTTTAGGATGCAAAATTCATTAGTAGGAAATTACAGGAATGTCACATTTTTGCTTCCTAATTCCCTAGGTCTAAAATCCCCAATTACTTGTATTTCCGAGGTGGATAATGTCAGTAATCTCCTCACTATAGAAAAGAGTTTTCTTTCTTATAGACGAATGAAACTCAATCAGAAAATACATTCCCCTTTTTGTCTTGCCTATTAAATATAATTTAACATAAAACGCCCGTTATAATTGCTGATTATACAACAAGGTGGTCTCTTGTTTTTTTGCAAGCAACTAACAGGATTATCTAACAAATGATAGATTTCAAATTAACCATAAACATTACAATTTGAAAATCATTTAGCTTCCCATTTATCATATTAAAAACCTTAAACAAATGAATTTGTGGCTAGAGAGGATGGAAAGGCTCCTGAGAACTTGTTACTACTTTAAACACACACACACTTACTATTTAAGATCTATCTGGAAAGGTGGAATATTAGTTCTATATAATACTTTCTGTATTCACAGCGTCTTCGCACTTAGGGAGTGAAAAGTTTCCTCATTTTGTAAGTAAGGTTCCACAAAAAGAAAATTTTGCCCCTGGAGTATGTGTAAATATCTTTTTATGAAACAGTACTAAAGAGTGGAATTGTGTAATGGAAAATTGATAAGCCCTATTGAATACGGACTGAGAAACAGACTTTGTGCTGCAAGGAATAGTTTCCCAAAGCTGAAACGATAGAAGCTAAGATATGAACAGCCCTCGCTTGCCATCATATTGGAAGAAATGAAAAACACATTAATCCATTTAGAACAAAACCAAAAGGGACAAAGCCCTGGTAGGTTCTAATCTGGTTTTTTCTTATTAACCACCTGTATTTGTTTTTGTAGCAATAATTTAGCAAGCCAACATGGATTTTGGGTGAGGGGTTTTTATTTGTGTGTTTGTTTGTTTGTCTTTAAAAGTCAATTAGAACCTTAGAGACTACTAGGGAGTTGCGCGTAATTTTTTTAAGCCAATCAACAATGAGTGTTGTTAGGATACGTTTTAATGACTTGCATCGCTGCAAACGCGTTTTAATTTCTTTATTATTCAATGGACAGAAAGAAGAGTGCTACTCGGATCTAATTATACATAGGGGTAAGTTACACGGCAATTTTGAGAGTGTAGACTGCTCATTGATAGGCATTATACACTTCCTCCCCACCCACACAATAATAGGATTGCATTATTTAGCAACATTACATTTCCCTTCACTGAACTCCCTATCCACGAGTTTCTTGTCCCCCAAAGTACCCCGTTCTAAAAGTGCTACAGTGAGTAGGTTATAAGTCCCTCCTTTCTCCAGCAGGGGACGGACTCGAGTCGTTTGGGTGTCTAGAGGAAGCCTACTCAGCTCAGCCCAGGACAAAGGTTGAATGAAGCACGAGCGACAGGCTGGCGAGAGAACAAACAGGCTAATGACCAGGCTCCATCGTCTGCTGGCATCTGATGGGGATACTCTGGTTTACTTGTCCTCACTCCTTCGCTTTCATGTGTGGCAGCCCTCTAGATTTCTGCAAAAGGGTCATGTAAACAGCTGGAAGAAACGCGATGGGTAATGATCAGGGTGCTCCCTTATTTATATGTTACAATCAAGCTAAGTGACAGCAGGATATGAAGTAGCCCCATGACTATGGAGCGCGTGCAATATCTTCAAGAGAAGAGAGTCGTTTCTGTCGACAAGAACTCTGGTTTATTTCTGTAGTCACGCCGGATTTAGATCAATGTCCCAGAGCTCGGAATCTGACCCAGGGTTCTTGTGGAGTGTAGAACCGGCGACGCATTCAGAGCTGGGGACTGTCGTGTTAGCACAAGCATGACTTACCAGACCAGATTTCTGATCATGCTGGGACAATTAAAAGGAAATGGAGAATTATAAAGTATCAAGTTATTAATAATTGGACCAGCGACTTTAAAATCTTTCCCCGCAAAAGTTTGTTTAAATGCTATTAAATAATGAAATCGCTCAGAAAAAGACCTTCGAGGTTTTGGGGTTTTTTTAACTGAAAGGGGGAAATATCCCTCACCCCACTAAATCAGTCCCGCTCCCGGAGAGAACAAATCCAAGTCCTTGCGCGGTAAGAAGCGTTTTTTAAGGAACGCCTGTCTGGGTGCGGCTGAGCATGTCTCTTATGCACAAGCTCCCAACCACATAGCTTTGGAGCGTGGTGCAAGCTGGGGATGGGGAGAAACTTCTGCTTTTCCGGCCTCGCCTTCACCTCATATAAACCAACGAGCGCTAGGAGGTGGCGACCATTATCCGGGGAAGTGCCTCTCATTTTCTCTGCCATTGGGTTTCACTGGCTCGGGATTGTTCCGTTCTGTATTCATTGGGAGGGCGGATTTATACACAAACGGGGCAGTAAAATGGAGAAGCTGCTGCCTCCCTCAAACAGCCCAGGGGGGAGAGATCCCCACAAGCAGAGCTTTGCGGGCCGATCGGCACCGCGCTGGCTGCTCAACCTCTCCACAGGCTGACACATCCCGCGGGGGGATTTTAAGAGCAGAGCTTCACACGAGCAGTTAAGTTTGTTTTCCAATTCCCGCGCAGGCTGCTTCGTCGGGACACCGCTGGGAGGGGCGCTCCGGGAGTTGCGAAAACTTCCTGCCTCCCCGCGGTGCGTTTGGTGACTGGAGCTTTTAACCTGTCATTTGGTTTCCTTTCCGCGCTTTTCCCGGCTTTGCTTGATGCCAGCGCAGAGTTCTCGGGTCCGCTGCAGCAAACAAACTACCCGGGGAATCGTGGGGATGAGGTGCCAGGTGGCGGCTGTGCTGTAGCCACACCCCGCATAGCCAGAGGAGGGGAAGAGACTTTCCACCATCTCTTGGCAAAGGCGCCCCCGAAGCTAGGCAGGAGCGCTGCTGGGCAAGAGAGCCCCCCTGCCCAGCTGTGTGTGGACACGTGCGCTTGGCTCGCTTCCCGCGAGCTGAATTGTGACGCAAGCGTTCCAAGTTCTCTTCTCCGCCCTGCTCAAGGGGCGCTGCTCTGCTGCAGGAGCGCTGTAGCCCAGAGGAGATTCTGCGACAGCTGTGGCAATGGCGCTCGGAGGGGCTGCGGACCAGAACGGCTCTGTCGCCCGGAGCAATGATAAATGAATTGTTGGGGTGAGCCCAGAGCCGGTGGGGGCTCGCAGGAGACGGTGAAAGGAAGCGGGGTGGTTCTCGTGCAGTCGCCTGGAATAAGAACAAGACTGATTCAATTAGAAAGAGTTCCCGGGAGCCATGGCGATGGCAAAGATGGCGTTAAAATGGCATAACCACCTGTGCGAGAGGATGATACCCACCTGTGTGTACACAGGCACTCACAAGCTGCACAACACCCCACTGGCTCCTGCCAGACCTTTGGGTTGTCCTTGTTTTAGAAACTTTCCAGGGGCTTGCTGCAATTTACCTCACTCACCTTCTCAACTTGATGCCCCTCACTAGTCCCCTCAGCTGTTCTGAGCCCCACAAGCCCCTCCAAAGCCAGGGTGGTTGTCCAATGGATGAGATGGTGAATGCCAGTTGCCTTCCCCTTTCCCTTCCACCCCATGGTGTTTTGGAGGCCTACAACCAACCCTTCATGCCCCCATGCTCAGGGGTGTGAATAAATCATTCCTTCAATGACATAAATTACACTGACACAAGTGCTATTACACTGAATAGCGTTATGTCGGCAGGAGAGCACCTCCCCCTGACAATAATTCCATGGGTCACAGGGGCTGGAATAGATACGCTGAGAGCCCTTACATTAGAGAGCTTTCAACAGTGCAGCTGCATGCAACTGTGCTGTTGTAAACTCTCTAGTGTAGTAGTGCCATGAGTGAAAGTTGGTTGCCATACACCAAAAATCATAGATTCTGGTTGCTTCCAGTTCCACAAGACCAGTCATTTATCCCAGGTCAACTGGGATCTCAGATCTCACACCAAAAACAACATATGCAGCCAGTCCTGTAGTGAATTAATTTAGGATTTAACTAGGAAAAATAAACTAGTTATTTACTGGTTAAAGCAAGTAACACCTATACACAAATGTGTTGCAGTCTGTGGTTCCAAAAAGAGACACAGCTGTAGTATCCCATCAGCACTGAATGTCCTTAGGACTAACCTGGGTTTCCCAAGTGATCTCTGCTTTTATTTCCTAATCTGAAGTATTCTAAAATTCCTGTATTAGCTGTTTAAGAGCAATTAAAAATATAGGGAGATATGGCCTGTAGCCACATTTTCTTTTGAAGTTAGGGCTTTAAAAGTCTTCGCATTTTGCAACTGGTTGGGCTGCTACTTTTACAAGCAAAATTTCAAATAGCTCATGTTTCCCTTTCTGAAGTGAAATTCAAGCTGACCAGCATCCTGCTTGCCTGCAAGGAGCTGAGGAGCAGAGTGGCAGGGTTTCTGTAATGAAACCAAGGGTCATGATAAAAATAGGGAAGCCTATTATAGTAAGGAAGATGTCCATTTTACTGCTGAGCTCTGTTAATATTGTTAGCTGGCCTGGCATTTCCTATTCGACAACTACCACTGTCAGTGATTTGGGGCAGGAAATGCTTTCTTTGCTACTTGTCTGAAAGGTGCATAACACAGAGGGGCTTTGATCCTTGACTTCTATTTGTTGTAGCTATAATGTCAATACTAATACAGTAGAACCTCAGAATTACAAATACCTTGGAATAGAGGTGGATTATGATTCTGAAATGTTTGTAGCTCTGATCTAAACATTACCATGCGTTCAAAAGTATGCAACTCATCACTAACACAATACAGCTTTGGAACTGTATGTATGCAAAACAAAAGGCTGCTTTTAACCAATCTCATTTAAATGAAACAAGCACAGAAACAGTTTCCTTATTTTGTCATTTTTTAAAATTTTCCCTTTTTTATTAGTTTACATTCAACACAATACTGAACAGTATTTGTTTTTTAGTTTTTTATCTCTGTTGCTGCCTGATTGCATACTCCCAGTTCCAAATGAGGAGTGTGATTGACTGGTCGGTTTGTAACTTTGGTGCTCATAACTGTGGTTTTGACTATTTAAGAATATGTGTCTCTTGATAAAATAGTGGAAAGAGCATGAGGGGAGGGGTTTGAAGGGTTGTCAGTGTTTCACCAAAAGATATCACAAACGGAAGGACTAGTGTCATTAAAACAGCATGTTTTAAAGATCCATCCATGCTAAAGTCTTCAAAGGGATCAAGAAGGAAAAGGCCAATGAAGGCCTCTGTAATGTTCTTGAGTGCTTTGTCTAGCGTAAAATGTCTAATGAGGCAGTCCAACAGACCTCTGATATTTTTTCCCTCAGTTTCATCCTATTTTCCCTAGTGCCCAGATGGATCTGTATGTGGAGGAGTCCTCTGTACACGGATTACTCTTTTCTCTGTGAATGGGGAGCTCATCCTTTCTATAGCCTTGTTTTCCATCACCTCTCCCTGGACCCAGGAGACCTCTCCATGCTGGCCAATGGCTGTGGACAGAGTGGAGACGGGATGGACTGTGAGGTGTGGGAAGATCAGGGATGGAGCCAGAGAGAATGGACACCACTTTCATTGTAAAGAGAACCAGTATGTTACACAGCATAATATATTTGCAGCTACCAGTACTATTCCATGAGTCAATTCTGAGGGCTCATTCAGAACATACTCAGCTACTGTCTCTCTTATTGGATCAAATTATCTACTGTAGCTTATTAAAGTCTTGATCCTGTGAAGAATAACTTAGGTGTTTAACCATAGACACAGTCAGCAACTCCATTGACTTCAGGGGTATTGATTACTCACGTGAGTAAAGTTAAATACAAGTGTCAGTCTTGGCAAAATTGGATCCTAAGTGTAAAAGTCATGGTGGTGGAATAGCAAAGCAGAGAGGAATATAAAATCACTTTGCTGTTTCCAGCTTGGGAATAGATTAGCTCTTCATTCCCTCAGACAAGCAATTAAATCAATTTCCCCAAGTAGTTCCCACCCAGTCAGGAGTCCCAAAATATTAAAATTCTTTCCTCTCATATTATTTTCCAGATGTTCATTCTGTGCTTGCCTTTATTAAGGCTTCTCTTACCAGGGTGACTAATTTAATAATTAGCTCAGGTACAGGGTATAGCATCTGTTACACATTTTACCTGTGCCTCTAAGGCAAAGCTTCTTACCTTAATTTTTTTATCCAGCTCTCTTTTCCCTTAAAGGATTTAAAGGTCTTTAAATTAATGGAAAACCCTGATTCCTCAACCAAGTCAACATATGGCTCATTTGGACCTGCCTTCAGTTCTGGAGTTGGAATGTATTAAGAGAGAGATGAGCCAAATCCAGTTGTTACTTCCCTGAGTCTCACTGAAGATCTAACAGGAAAGATACGTTCATCTTTTCCTTTAAAAATATTTTCAAGATCTTCCCCTAAGCGTCACATTAGATGAGATGTATGACCCCTTGTATGCAAATCTCAGATCCAGACTTTGAGTTCTAACAATGCAGGCATTTTGGTAACACCCAGACATTGGCTTTAATATTGCCAGGTCATTTGCCATTATTTGTTGTGTTCTTCAAATCTGGAGCTCTCTTCTTTTTCTTAATCTTTAAAAAGGGACATATACTGTTCAGATTACAACTATACTGAGAAATCATATCATCTAGTGGATGGGGCATTGGGCCAGGACTCAGAAGTATACTGAATACCAAACTCCACCACAGACCTGCAATGTGACCTTAGGCAAATAACTTTTTCTCTCTGGGCCTCTGTTTCCACTCCCACCTTTGTCTTGGCTGTTTAGACCAAGTCCTTCAAAGCAGGGACTCTCTTACATATCTTTGTACAGCACCTAACACAACGGGACTATCTCTCTTTGGGGCCTCCAGGAGTTATTGGCATACAAACGATAATAACAATAAACCCAAATTAAACATATTAAGTCCAACTTTTGCCTTCAGTTACACCCATGCAGCCATGTTGGCTTCCATGTTTACTTCTAGTCTTTGATTACTGGGACAAATCTTGAAGTCCTAAATCTTTTTTCAGCCCAAACTCATTGAAGTCACTGTGCGAAAACCTCTTTTTTGGATGCTGAAATCAGCCTTAGTCCCACGTTTTCTGTACCTGATGTGCTTTAGAATTTTGTATTGACAACTCACAGATGTATTGTAGAAGTTATCAGGGAAGAAGCTGAAGGTTTTGACAGCAGAATAGGGAACACTGGGATTTTTGGGACTTGGGCTGGCATCAGAAGCTGTTTGGGATAGGGTAAATACAATAGCTGAGCATTTTATTAAAGTGAGCAGAGATGAAATAGTTAATGTTAATATTTAAACAATTAGCTGTAGGATTCAGAGTAAACAACCTATTGAAGTGAGAAGCAAAGATCACGCTTCTCCAGAACTATAGTTTCAGGCTATCTGCAGCCTCTTAAGGATAGCACTGTGTTAGTTACATACAGCTGACACTATAAAGCTGTTATTCCCAGCCATAAAGGCTAGAAAGATTTGGGTTTTGTTTGTTTAATGGATATTTGGCTTCTGGAATAAAATTCCGAAGAAAAGTGGATTCAGTTGCAAATTCTACAGCCAATTTCCCTGACTATTCCGCAGGGGAATTGTAATAAAGTAAACACTGGTCACTTAGGCTATGTCTAGACTACAAGTTTCTTTTGGAAGAAGCTTTTCTGGAAGAGATCTTCCCAAAAAACTGTTTTCAAAAGAGAGTGTCTACACAGCAAAAGTGCAACAAAAAAGCAATCTGCTTTTTCGGAAGATAGTGTCCACATTGATTGGATGCTATCTTGCATATAAGGCAACCTGGAACCAGTTCAGGCAGGTCATTAGGTCAGCAGTTGCTTCCTGATGCTGTTGCCTAAGGCTAGCTGAAATGCATGCTTAAAGGGACCCCCCCCCTCCCCCGGATGGCCATTTCTCTACTTCTGCTGCTTGCTTGCTTGCCTCTCTGAGGGACAACAAAGCATTTGCAGTGCATGCTTTGGTTGCCCAGCTTTTGGACACCACAGCATACTCCTTGCCATGGAGCCGGAGCTGTCTCTGGGCATGCAATGGCTCCACACAGCCATGCTGCAGTTTCTGCAGGCTGCCTTCATGGCCCTGCATGAGCTGGACACTGGGCTCATCATTGAGACCCTCTCCCTGTGTGCGGGAGCAAGACCCTTGCACCTGTACCCCACAGTGGAGAGATGATTTTGGAGGCTGGACACCAGTTCTGACTGCTAGGACCAGCTGGTCATAGAGCGGTGGGACGACCAACAGTGGCTCAAAAGCTTCCCTGCAGATGGCCACCTTTATGGAGCTGTGAGCCTTGCTCGCCCCTGCCCTCCGGCGACGGGACACCTACATGCGGCCCACAATCCCCCTGAAGAAGCTGGTCGCCATCCTGTTTAGAAGCTTGCCACCCCAGTTACCGGTTGGTGGGCAATCAGTTCAGCATGGGAAAGTCCACCGTTGGGGCCCTCCTCATGGAAGTAGGGCACTCTGGGGCTGCAGTCCCTACGGGGGGAGGGGAAGGGTAGTCCTGGAAAGGGGGACCATAGGGAAAGGGGGTTAGAGGGGTGCAGGGGTGGACTGGAGATGGGTGGGGAGTCCTGTCCCTGGGGGATTGTGCTGTTCCTTACAGCCCTTACAGAGCCCTGCTGCTGGGCAGGTGGCCTCATAGGAGGTGGCTCCTGGGATGTTTGAGAGGGGAGCAGGCACCTCTCCAGGCTCAGGCTCTCCCTCTCATTCTCTGTTTTGTGTGTTTGTCTCCTTCTGCAAGTTGTGAGGGACATCAACTCCATCCTGCTGCACAGGGTCATCCGCTTGGGAGACCTGCACCCAGTCATTGCAGGATTTGCTGCCCTGGGGTTCCCCGACTGCAGTGGAGTGATGGATGGAACCCATATCCCAATCCATGCACCACATCTTCGAGCCGCCCAGTACATTAACAAGAAGGGCTATTTCTTGATGGTGCTGAAGACCCTGGTAGATCACTGTGGACAGTTTATGGACATTTTCATTGGGTGGTCGGGCAGGATGCACAATGCCCATGCATTTAGAAACTCAAGCCTGTACTAGAAGCTGGAGGCTAGCACATTCTTTCCCCAGCATGACTTTGGGGTTGGGAACATGGAGATGCCACCGTGCATCATCCGGGTCGCAGCCTACCCCCTGATGCCATGGCTGATGAAGCCGTACACCGGCCCCTCCTTTCCCCCCTTCCCTGAACTCTCAATAAACCCACCTGTTTTGATTTGAACAAAATGAACTTTGTATTTTTTTATAATAAAATAAACTGGGGAAGAGGGGGGCTGAGAACCTGGATGGGGGAGGGAGAATGGGAACTCAGGGCTGGGAGTGGTGCATGGGCTGGCTGGAAGTGCCACATGAGGCCGGTGGACCTCAACAAACTTGAGGGTAGGTGGGGCCTGGGACAAACAGGAGGGTGAGAAGGAGGGGGGGCTGGAGTGGGGTCAGGGATGGGAGAGGGCAGTGGGAGGGGCCATTGGCATAGGAATAGCAGGAGGAGAGAGCAGAGGCATGGTTTGGAGGGCAAGGGATGGGGAAATGGGCATAGCAGGGGGGGACAAGAGGGTGGGAGGCAGGAGTAGGGACAGCAGCCAGGTGTGCCATCATTTCCCGCATGATGGCACACATGTTGCCCTGCTGCACAAGCTAGTCCTACATGTGGCTCTGCCACTTAGCGTCCTCCTGGACCTTCTGGGCCAGGGTTTGTGGCATGTCGCGCAGGATGCCCACATGCTGCCTCAGGAGGTCCTCATGGACCCTCATGTGCTTGTGGCTCCCTCAGGGTTGGGTCACCCCTCACCGATGGCTGGTCTGGCTGTGGAGAATAAAGAGGGTGAGGTGGTCAGTCATGCATGCACACACTGTCCCTCAGGCCATGCCCTCCTCTGTGAGCAGCGACCAACCGTTCTTGGGCCATAGGATGGGGATGTCCCGGGAGCAAGGCCATGTGTGGACTGAACAGCAGGCCTCGAGGTGCACCAGGGGACTATGCTTCCTGCTCCTCCCACCTCCGGCCCATGAACAAGAAGGCAAGGGAAGTGTCCGGCCACAGTGGGATCCCATGGGTGGGAGAGGGGCATGGAGCAGCCTGGCCTTCCATGGTGCCCGCACACACACCTGCGCCTGGCAGCGCTGTCCGCGGGAGTGGGTGGTGCCTCGCACTTGCAAGCATGCCCGTGTGCTGTGTGCGGCACTCCTGAGTCTGTGTGGGGTTGTGCGTGCACTCTTGTGTCCAGCCTGCTTGCAGCTAATGGTGGGAGGGCATCCCCCCCAGGGGTGAGGCTTCCCTTGGAGGTTGCGTGGCGCAGACTGGCACTGCACATGCTTCCACATGCACCGACTGCAGCATGATGTCCAGGCTGAGAAAGCCGAGCAATGATTGCACCGCAGCCCCTCAGTGGTCACCTCCCCTGCCTGTGTGTGTGTAAAACTGCGAGCACTCCCCTGATGATCCCGCCCTGCCGTCAGAGGATGTCTGTGATGATCCCGCCCCTGGGGTACTGGCTTGAGGGTGAAGGTGACCGTACTGGCCGTATTCTCCTCCTCCTGCACCTGATGTTTCTCCGCCTCCTTCTCCTCAGCAGGGAGCTCTGGACAGGTGACAATGGGTATCTCAAGTGCCAAGTACACCACCATGGGTGGGAAAAGGGCTTCCCCCCCCACAGGCTCTGGTGGAGCTCCTAGAAACAGGGGCAGGAGTGGGGTTCAACCCTGGAGTGAGAGCTGCACTCCCTGGCCGTGGCATAGCTCCTTCACCTTACTCTGGACCTGTTCTAAGGTCTGGGGGTGGTGGTGATGGGTGGTGGTGTCCCCTCTCCACCAGGGCCTCAGCCACCTGGACATCCTACTGGGTCTTCTCCTCCCCCCACAGCTCCAGGAGGGACAGGATCTCTGCTCCAGACCAGGATGGGTCCTGGAAGCCCTAGTGGAACTCCCTGTGAGGGCCAGGAGGGTCTTGGGGGACTTGTGGCTGGGCCACCTGCCACAACGCTTGCAGCTTTAAGAGCTGGCAGGAAACAGGAACTATAGAGTTCTGATTATTTTGGATGGAGTGGCCACAAGGGCACCTGTGTTATTTTTCGGAAAAAAGGCTTCTTCCTCGTAGAAAGAGGTTTACCGCTGTAGGAAAACCCCCTCCATTCTTTTGACTTTCTGTCGAAAGAACGCAATAGCAGAATGAACATAAGTATTGTTTTACTGGAAAAATGGCCGTTTTTTCAGGAAAAATGCTGCAGTATAGACATGCCCTTACAGGAGCTGCAACAGGGTTTATACCTTACACAGGTAATGAAAGAATTAACTGGACACAAGGCTATCAATGCACTTGATCACACCTGGAAGGTGGGCCAGGATCAGCTGGAGTTGTAGCATAATTTGGGGGTGAGCATAAAGCGAGGAAGCTCAGATGACAGGGAGTGAAGGAAAGTATTCTGTGTGATGGGACCCTCCCCCTGAGGAGCATCTGATGTGCTGAGACATCACTGAGCCTGCATATATGTGTGATAGCTTGAACACCTCACAATCCTATCTTGCAGAGCATGGCACTCCATCCAGCCCCAGCTCAGACAAAGGGAAGGGCCTCACCACCCAGCTTGTAATACCCATCGCAGGCAATACAGTGAAAGACAAATCCTCAGCAGACAAATACAGTCCTTTTGGGAGCCAAACCCTAGATAAATCCATTTTATGCTGTATAGAGATCCCTACTGTATAAGATCATGAAATCTATCCATTTTCTCAGTTTAAAGAGAGATACACACAGACTCTTTGCCCCCCCTCCCAGTTAATTTATATTGGGGTTATTAATAAACAAAAGTGATTGTATTAAGTATAAAAAGGTAAGATTTAAGTGGTCATAAGGGATTGCACACAGAACAAAAGTAGATTACTAAGCAAAATAAAACAGAATATGCAAGCTAAGCTCAATACACTAAACTAGTTACATATAATATCTCATCCTAAAAGTTATTCTAATAATCTTCTGACAGACCAGGCATCCTTCCAGTCTGGACCCAATTCCTTCCCCCAGTTCAGTCTGGTCAGGTCTACACTAGACATGAAAGGTCGGCTTAAAGTACGCAATTCCAGGTATATAGAATACGTAGCTTACCTTAAGACAAGCTTGGCATTGTCCTCAGGGAAGGAGGCCAATTGGATCAAATGCTCCGGTTGGCTTCCCTTACTCCTTGCGACTGTGAGTACAGACGCCAACTGGAGCTGTCCTCTGTGTTCAATTTACTGGTCTACACTAGACCCACTAAATTGAACACCAGAAAGTGGATCTCCAGTGCGTCGAGTGAAGACGTGCCCTTAGTTGTTTCCAGTAGTCATTTTGGATGGGATCCTATAGGAGAACCGATGACCAGGATTACCTCACTCCCCACCCTTAAATAGGCAGAACTGCATAAACCCGGATCATCACAAACAGGTGTTTGTCTATCCTGCTCTTAAAAACCTCCAGTGACAGGAATTCCACAATCATTGTAGGTAACTTGTTTCTGTCTTAGAGTTGGAAATTTTTTCCTAAAATCTAATTTTCCTAATAAATTCCTCATTTCTTCTTGGCTTAATTTGGGAGAGATTAGGGACAAAGGCAGGTTTAGTATGTAGTATTTTCTCAAG